ATGCTTTGTAATTCTTGTTGTTATTAAAGTTCAAACTGTCCCATTTTGCTAGTGGAAGTTGGCTCTGAGTCCTCTTGACATGACCCAAGTAGTTTGCATAGTTACCTCACTATCTAGCATGTCGAGATGTTCCCAGAATTTCTCATCGTGGTTTTCATTTACATTGCCCTGATTGCTAATAAAGTTGAGCATCTTGTCACAGGTTTATTGGTTTCTTTTTCTTGAAATGCCTGTTCATGTCTTTTGGCCACTTTTTATATGGGTCATTTGTCCCTTATTGATTTATAAGAGTTCTTTATTTTTTTTCTGAGATACTAGTATTTTTTGGCCGGATGTTTGCAGATGTCTTTTCTCAGTTTGGGGCTTGTCTTTTCAGTTTTGGTGTCTTGATGATCAGAAGTTCTTCATGGAGTTGATTTATTGACCTTTTCCATTGTGGTTTCACTCTTTGACTCTAGGAGCTTAATGAAAGCATGAAATATTTAATGACTGCCCATTGCTAATCTGAAACACTTTCAGAATAGTTCTAACTCAAGGTCAGAGTATCAGAGATGAAGGCCAGTTGTGGGTGTCAGGAGGTCAGTTGTGGGTGTCAGTCCTCAGGATCACAGATGGCTCTTTTAGAGTTGTCTCTTTTGTTTTTGAGACAGAATCTTGCTCTGTAGCCCAGGCTGGAGTGTAGTGGTGCAGTGGTACGATCTCGTTCACTACAACCTTCATCTCCTGGGTTCAAGCAATTCTCCTGTCCCAGCTCTCTAGTAGTTGAGATTACAGGCATGCGCCACCATGTCTGGCTAATTTTTGTATTTTTAGTAGGGATGGGGTTTTATCATTTTGACCAGGCTGGTCCTGAACTCCCGGCCTCCCAAAGTGCTGGGATTACAGGCGTGAGCCACCACGCCTGACTAGAGTTGTCTTATAATTAGCCAAACACAGCAGTATGTCTCAGTAAATACATTTTAGTTTTTCACTAGCTTTTATTTTTTAATGCAACAAATTACTATCACAGAATTGTAGAATGACTCTTAAAGGCCAACACTAATTATTCAAAGGGCGGGAAATTCAGAAAGAAGCACAAACCTCTTACCAACATGAAAATTGAGCAGAACTTCTAAAGCTGAGCTGTTAATAGTTTTATTCAGGATCTTGCTGGCTCAGCAGGAAAATGAAAGGGAAGCAGCAGCCACCACCCTGAGTAAACATGCCCTGCTTTTTCTTCCTCCATTAGAAATTCCTCGGCTCTCTAAACACAGCAAAGTTTGGCTGAAAGTAAGTCATGTAGTTTTAAAATGTTCATCTTTGAAGCTAGTCACAGAAGGGCAAATAGTGCATGATTCTACTCATACGAGGTATCTAAAATAGTCAAACTCATAGAGGCAGAGAATAGAATGGTGATTGCCAGGGGTTGGGGGAGGGAGAAATAGGGAGTTGGCAATCAACAAAGTTTCAGTCAAGCACAGAGAATAAGTTCTAAATATCCCCTACACAACATTGCACCTATAGGTATCAGTACTGTATTGTACGCTGAAAAATCTGCCAAGAGGGTGGATCTCACGTTAGGTATTCTTACCACTATATTTTTTTTAAATGACAACTTGGTGGGTTTTCCATAAAGTTATGAATTTGTGTTCTTTGTAATTTTTTTCTGTCTAAAATTCTAAGAAATACAGGTATTAGGAAATGATTTTTTCTTTCTTTTTAAAAACACCATTATTTAGCAAAACAAAAAGTTAGAAATCCTGAAAAATAATGATCATCTCCTCCTTTGAAAGGAATGCACTCTTGGTATCAGTGGTCAGGATACAGTGTTGCCCAGTGGAGTAAGATGTGGGGAGCACCAGACTCCTACCCCACCTCTGCCTCTTACTAGCCCTGAAACCTTGGGAAGTCACTCCAGCACTGTGGGAACTGGACACAGTACCTCCTGGAGCTGTTTTGAGGATTCAGTAAGGTTATCTATGTGAGGAACATATGATATGGTTGGATTCCAGCCACGTTAGTCATCAACCACCACTCATGTGATACTGAACATTTTCGCTTCTGCCTGAGAAGATAATGTCCACTGATAGAAAATGGAACCATACCCTGTAGTCAGGAGTCCTTATGTCATTGTTTAATTTTCCATTGCTACCAGAATAAATGACTCCAAATGTACAGGCTGAAAGTAATGCAAATGATTATCATAGTTTTGTAGGTCAGAAGTCCAGTTCTAAATCAAGGTGTCAGCAGGGTTGCATTCCTTTTTAGAGGCCCTAGGGGAGAATTTCTTCCCAGCTCATTTAGATTGTTGACAGAACTCAGTTCCTTGAGGTTGTAGGACCAAGGTCTGTTTTGCTGGCTGTCAGCTGAGGGCTGTTCCCAGCTTCCTTCCTCTATTGTCAAAGCCTGCAGCAAGTCCTTTTCAGGTCCCCTCTCTGACCCCTTCTTCTTCCTCCCTCTTAGACTACGGACACTCATATGCTTGAATCAGGCCCACCTGGATAATCCAAGATCATCTCCCTATTTTAAGGGCAACTGATTAGTAAGCTTAATTCCAATGCAACCTTAATTTCCCATTGCCATGTAAGGTAATAGTCATGGGTTCCAGAAATAGAAGACATCTTTGAGGGGCCATTACTCTGCCTACCACATCCAGTGAACTAGAATTTAGTTGGGAATTTTTTTTTTTTTTTTTTTTGAAATGGAGTCTCGCTCTGGAGCAGCTGGACAGAGTCAGGTGGAGTGCAGTGGCACGATCTTGGCTTACTTCAACCTTTGCCTCCCGGGTTCAAGCAATTCTTTTGCCTCAGCCTCCCAAGTAGCTGGGACTACAAGCACATGCCATCATGTCCAGCTAATTTTTGTATTTTTAGTAGAGACGGGGTGTCACTATATTGGCCAGGTTAGTCTCGAACTCCTGACCTCGTGATCCGCCCACCTCATCCTCCCAAAGTGCTGGGATTACAGGCGTGAGCCACCTTGCCCAGCCTTGTTGAGATCTTTAATAGGTCATTTATCCTTACCTTTTATTTTTTTCGTCCAAAAACTAACGTGACTACCATATAGGATAGGTAGTATTTATTGAGCACTTACTTGCTGTGAGCTTGGCCCTTGGCACTAAGCTCTTTACTCAGGAAGAGTCTTTGAGGTGGATTCTATTATCCCCATTTGTAAGCAAGGAAACTGCCTTTTGGAGAAGTTAAATAATTGTTGAAAATAATTCACCTGGTAAGGGAAGCAAACATTTCAGTAGGCTGCTGTACCTCAGAGGTTTGGCTGGCCATCAGCCTTCACATGGCAGGCATACTAATTAGAGATCAGTATCTTGATTTTCTTTAAAAGTTTCAGTTTTGCTAGCAGAAATTGTTGTTTATGGCTGGGCACGGTGGCTCATGCTTGTAATCCCAGCACTTTGAGAGGCTGAGGCAGGTGAATTACCTGAGGTCAGGAGCTCGAGACCAGCATGGCCAACATGGTGAAAAAAGATGCAAAAATTAGCCAGGCATGGTAGTGGGTGCCTGGAATCCCAGCTACTCGAGAGGCTGAGGCAGGAGAATTGTTTGAACCCGGGAGGCAGAGGTTACAGTGAGCCAAGATTGAATCGTTGCATTCTAGCCTGGGTGACAGAGGGAAACTCTGTCTCAAAAAAACAAAACAAGAAATTGTGTTCATGGATGTGGTAAGAAAATAAAAACTGAAGTCAGATATGTATTAAAATGATTGAGTTACAAAATATTCTAGATAAAAATGTTTCTCTGAAAATGCAAAAAAACTTGATTTCCGGCTTGTGCTAAATCACAAACTGTTTTTTTTGAAGTCAGAATGTTGTTTTGTCTGAAATCATGGAGTTATCTGCCAAGAGAGATCTGATTTGTAACAGGGTGGGTGTATGGGCTTGATATTTTTATTTTATTTATTTTATTATTATTATTATTTTGTAGTGCATCCAGATTCTCTGAAATATTTTTTTAGTGAGATATTGGACTATGATGTTTTGTTATACTATAAGTGATATGTAACCAAACAAGAAAATTTTCCTAGCAACAAAGTTGTTTTCCTGAATCAGAAGAATGCTTTTGTGTGCTCATTTTCTTACTGTCCAAAAGATTAAAAGCTTGTGAATTTAGCATTTTGTTTTTTCAGACCTAACATATATTTAGGTAGAGAACCACCTTGCTTTTTTTGTTGTTGTTTTTAGTTTGTTTTTTTGTTTTGTTTTGTTTTTTCTTTTTTGGAGATGGAATTTTACTCTTGTCCAGGCTGGCGTGCAATGGTGCAATCTCAGCTCACTGAAACCTCTGCCTCTCGCATTCAAGCAATTCTCCTGGGATTACAGGCATGTGCCACCACACCTGGCTAATTTTGTATTTTGAGTAGAGACAGGGTTTCTCCATGTGTGTCAGGCTGTCTGCCTTGGCCTCCCAAAGTGCTGGGATTACAGGTGTGAACCACTGTGTCCTGCCGAGAACTATCTTGTTTTTATGCCAGACCCAATTGTTGGACATGATTATTTCACTTGCCCTCATAAACCTCTTTTTATCTCTTCTTGTTCTTCATTAATCTGGTGAGGGACCCAGACATTTCAGTAGACTGCTATACCTCAAAATTATGGCTGGCAATCAGCCTTCACATGGCAGTCATACTAATTAGAAATTAATGTTTTGATTTTTTTTTTTAAGTTTTAATTTTGCTAACAGAAATTGTCATTCGTGTTCATGGATGTGTTAAGAAAATAAAAACACACACTTTTAAATTCTAGACAGACTTGAGATCTGAGAAAAAAAAAAAAACCAAACTTTTTTACATTCATCAGATCTCTAAGTTCTGCCCCATTTCCATTTGTTTGTTTGTTTTGAGACAGGGTCTCACTCTGTTGCCCAAGCTGGAGTGCAGTAGTGCAGTCATGGCTCACTGCAGCCTCAACCTCCCTGGCTTAAGTGATCCTCCCACCTCAGCCTCCTGAGTAGCTGAGACCACAGGCGTGTGTCATCACATCTGACTAATTTTTGTATTTTTTATAGAGACAGGATTTCAGCATGTTGCCCAGGCTGATCTTGAACTCCTGGATTCAAGTGATCTACCTGCCTCGGCCTCCCAAAGTGCTAGAATTACAGGTGTGAGCCACTGCCCCTGGCCTTCCATTTGATTATTCAACAAATATCTGAATACTATGTACTAGGAGGCCCTAGGGATAGTGTGCGCTCATGAAGCTTACAGATTAATGAAAGATTCAAAGAAGAAATAATTATGCAATCAGGAAGTGCATGAGTGCTATGAAAGGGAATAGACAGTTCTGCTAAATTGAAGGACAGGGTACAAAGAAAGCTTTGATGTAAAGGATGAATAACATTTAGCCAGACAAAAATTGGGATTGACTGGTCTCGGTCAAGGGGTATATTTGGCAAAATTCTTGTCCCAATAGGGAGTTTGGCAAGTTCAAGCAACAGCAAAAAGGCCTCTAGGGTGTAGGTGGGTGTGTGTTCACGTCTGTATATGTGTGTTTGCTTGTGTGCATGCATGTGAGGGGGCAGGGTGGGGAGTGGCTCTGGAGGAGGAGAAGGGCACAGATTCTGAGTCCTATAGCAGTCTTGTTCAAAGCATCAAGTAGACGTGAGAATTGTTGATCATTGATCCACCAAGTAATCCATATGGCCTTGTTTCCCAGAACTCAGTTGTCAAGTATAATTTATCATCAAAACCAGGGTACTCTTTTTTTTAAACTTTTTTTTTTCTGTGTTGCTCAAGCTGGTCTTGAACTCCTGGGCTCAGTGGATCCTCCCACCTCAGCCTCCCAAAGTGCTGGTCTTACAGGCGTGAGCGACCATGCCCGGCAAACCAGGATACTCTTGAGAGTGAAAGGGGACACTATTGATTATGCTGGGACAATGGGTATAATATAGTGCTTATAGACTAGTTCTCAGCCACTCCAGGGAGCCCCACAGTTGCCTAGAAACCGTGCTCTGAAATGACAGGATTTGTCACGTGCTCCTGCTTTCTTACTTTCCCCCTCCTTCACCTGTGAATAACTCTGAAAGAGGGCCACCAGGAGAAACTGCTCCAAGTCTACACCACAAAATCATAGCCCCATGGCCCACCCAGCTGCAGCCTCCTGTTTTTCAGACTGCCATCTGATCTCTGACTATTAATGTGTTTTCAGAATTAAAGTCTAAAAAACATATAGAAAAGAAAGTAAGGCCTTAAAAGGTTAGCACATGAACTTTTCCCACTAGAAACTTTTCTTACACCACTTCTTAAGGATGACATGAGCTAATTATGTGTTCTGGGATGATGGCTAGGCAGAATGGGTGTGGTCTGATTCTAACTTCTTTCAGAGTAAACATGTTTTGTGGATTGGCCCCTATGGTGGAAAATGGTGAATAATGCATGGGGCAAATATCTACAGGAAGCCTTCCCATAGGTGTAAAACCTTCAACAGTGACAGCGCCATGAAATAGTAAATCTTCCTCTTTTAGGAAGATTTATGTCAGGAAATAAAAGAGGAAGATTTATTGATTCTTTTTTTAAATAGAACCAACTGTTTGGCTGAATCTACATAATGAGAATTAATGGAGCTTTATTTCCTGCTCTCTCTGCCCAAGTCACTCTACAGCAGGGCCCTCTGAGACCTAGTAACTTCTTCAACTTACTGAGAGGTGGATCACTTTGCAGTATAATATTTAATGGTCGGCAAGGCAACTGTGAGAATGTGGGATCTCTGTCCTCCTCAGCCTTTCTTCAGCAAGCCCCAGAGTCCTCAATAAAATGGTTTGACCCTGTCCCCTGTAATAATTTTTAATGTTCATGTTCAACCGAACACTCAGGACACTGAGGAGTTGCACTGTTTCTTTTCAAACTGCATTAAAGCTCTTTCTTTTGTTTCAAAAGCCAGGAAATGTGAAGAATTCACCTGGAACTAAGTAGAAAACTCCATGCTCTGCCCTTCTTAATCAGGTAAAGAATAAGAAATCTCTGAATATTTTCAGCATTGTAGTGCCAGCTGAAATGACTTGTCTTTCATTTAATTAATTGTAACAGTTCAAACTTGATGTGAAAATATAAGGGTCATATTTTCTTCCATCTTTAATTTCTGGGCTTAAATGCTGTGACTTATTTGCGTTTGTTCCACTGATGGAACAAAATAAATACCTGGGTATTTTAGACAAGCTAGAACCAGGCAGTTGGTATTTGTCTATAGATCTATTTCAAACAATTGAAAAGTATCGTTATTCCTTAGGTTTATTATTTTCAAACAATACTTTATTATAGTAAGTACACTTGTATTTATCTAATAACGAACACTCAAATGTATGACTGTTACAGAGAGGCTCAAAACACTAGTTATATTGCTTGTGTATAAATGAAAAATTATATAAAAGCACTTGTGATTCCCTGGTAATTAGAAGACTATAATTGAATTCAGAAACAACCTAGATATTCAACTACAGGAAAATGGTTTAATTATGGTATATCCATAAAGAGGAATATTATTATTCTGTTTCTGCGATATTTAATTTCATGGGAACATATGCACAATTATTGTAAATGAAAAAAAAGGAAGTGTGATATGTTTATAGAGGGGATGAAGCCAGGCGATATACTAGAAAGTGTGTATCTTTCAGTGGTATGATGATTTTTATGGTTTTTCTTCTTTATAATTTTCTGTGTTTTAAAATTTTTCTGCAATGACTGTGCATTTTATAATCAGAACATTTTTTTTTTGAAAATTGGTGTTACATTTATTGTAAATCATGGCCCCTACTTGAAATTTATGAAAACCCTGAGTTTGAAGGGTTTTTTTTCCTCAAGCTTTCTTTATTTTTGGAGACCCAAAGAGTCATATAAACTAAGAATTTGAGAGAGATTATCTGGCCCAACCCCCAGCCTCAAGCAGAGTCCACTGGAGCCCTGTATGTTCCTCCTTTTACACCAGCACTGATGGGAAACTCACCCCATGGGGCAGCCATCTTGGGACAGTTCTGATTTTTCGGAAGCTATTTCTTCTGCTAAGCAAAAATATGTCTTCTTAGTGGTCACAGAGAACAAATCCAGTTCCTCTTTCACATCATAGCCGTTTATACAGTAATCCACAATCAGTAGTTCTCAGATATAAACTATTACCCAGGGAGCTTGTTAAAAGGCAAAAGCCACCCCAGAATCAGCATCTCTGGTGAATGGGGCCAGATGCGCCATTAGAAGGATAACTAGAGCCAGGCACAGTGGGTCATGCCTGTAATCACAGCACTTTGGGAAGCCAAGGCGGACAGATCACAGGGTCAGGAGTTCGAGACCATCTTGGCCAAATAGTGAAACCCCGTCTCTACTAAAAATACAAAAATTAGCTGGGCGTGGTTGCAGGTGCCTGTGATCTCAGCTACTCAGGGGGCTGAGGCAGGATAATTGCTTGAACCCAGGAGGCGGAGGTTGCAGTGAGCCGAGACTATACCATTGCACTCCAGTCCAGACAACAGTGCAAGGCTCTGTCTCAAAAAACAGAAAAAAGGATGACTAGAGGGTGAGCAGCCACAGAGTGACACATGTCCTCTAGAGACTTGACTTTTAATATGGTTATATTTCTTTTGCTCTTTTTTTTAATCCCTGTCAGCCAGAATGGTTATATTTCTCTACAGGGATAATGAAAAAGACATAGAATAAAGAGAAATTAGGTAAATATCCATTTAAATTTTCAAAGATACTCTGCACTAGAGTTCAGCTTGCTGTAATACACAACCTTGGTTTCATTCTTTATTTTTTTTAGGTCTTTATTGAAGGAGGTGTAGCTTTTAATTATAAAAGTGATTTTTTGCGTTGGTTATAAAAAAATGTTTTTAACTAAATATTTTAAAAGCTCATCTTATCCCTTATTCTTTTTTTTTTTTTTTTTGAGATGAAGTTTTGCTCTTGTCCAGGCTGGAGTGCAGTGGCGCGATCTCACTCACTGTAACTTCTGCCTCCCAAATTCAAGTATTTCTCCTGCCTCAGCCTTCCAAATAGCTGGGAATACAGGCATGTGCCACCACGCCTGGCTAATTTCATATTTTTAGTAGAGATGGGGTTTTACCTTGTTGGTCAGGCTGGTCTTGAACTCCTGACCTTAGGTGATCCACCTGCCTCAGCCTTCCAAAGTGTTGGGATTACAGGCATGAGGCACCACACCTGGCCCCTTTATTCTTTTTTCCAGAGGTAATCTTTGTTAATAGTTTAGTATATCATTCCAGACTTTTATAGAGAGAGAGAGAGAGACAGATAGAGAGACTGGGAGCAGTGACTCACACCTGTAATCCTAGCACTTGGGGAGGCCGAGGTAGGTGCATTACATGGGACCAGCCTGGGCAATATAGCAAAACCCTATCTCTACAAAAAATAAAAAAAATTAGCCAATCGTGGTGACAAACATCTGTAGTCCCAGCTACTCCAGAGGCTGAGGTGGGAGGATCACCTGAGCCTGGAAGGTGGAGGTTGCAGTGAGCTGTGATCATACCACTGCCCTCCAGCCTGGGCAACAGAGTAACACCCTGTCTCAAAAACATATATATACACACACACACACACACACACACACACACATACATACATATATACACACACACACACATATATACATATAGTGTTTAAAATTTATTTATAAATTTATATATTTATAATATATTCATGCATACATACATGTTTTTGTTTTTGTTTTTTTTTTTTCACAAAATGGGATCATATCCCTCATATTGTTATGCAAGTTCACAAAAAACTTCTTTTTACAGTTATTTATTTGGGGGTATGGGATCTCGCTGTGTTACCCAGACTGGACTCCAACTCCTGGGTTCAAGTGATCCTCCCACCTCACCCTCCTGAGTAGCTGCACAAAAAACTTTCTGAAGGCATATAATTGTAATTTTATTATCACACATAAAGAAATTAAGACCCAGGCGGGGCGCATTGGCTCACACCTGTGGTCCCAGCACTTTTGTAGGCCAAGGCAGGTGGGTCAGGAGTTCGAGACTAGCCTGGCCAATATGGTGAAACCCCGTCTCTAATAAAAATACAAAAATTAGCCAGGCATGATTACGTGTGCCTGTAGTCCAGCTACTTGGGAGGCTAAGGCAGGAGAATCACTTGAACCAGGGAGGCAGAGGTTGCAGTGAGTGGAGGTTGCACTGAGCTGAGATCCTGCCACTGCACTCCAGCCTGGGCGACAGAGCGAGACTCTGTCTCAACAACAACAAAAATTGAGGTTGCTCATGCCTGTAGTTCAAACTACTCAGGAGTCTGAGGCAGGAGAATTAGTTGAGCTCAGGAGTTTGAGACCAGCCTGGGCAACATGGTGACACCCTGTCTCTCCAAAAAAATGTTTAAAAAATTAGCTGGTTGGCCTGGCACATTGGCTCACACCTGTAATCCCAGCACTTTGGGAGGCTGAGGTGGGCAGATCACGAGGTCAGGAGTTCAAGACCAGCCTGACCAATATGGTGAAACCCCATCTCTACTAAAAATACAAATATTAGCCGAGCATAGTGGCAGCGCCTGTAATCCCAGCTACTCAGGAAGCCGAGGCAGCAGAATCGCTTGAACCTGGGAGATGGAGGTTGCAGTGAGCCGAGATTGCGCCATTGCACTCCATCCTGGGTGACAGAGGATCGGTCTCAAAAAAAAAAATTAGCTGGGCATGGTGGCATGCACCTGTAGTCCTGGTTACTCAGAAGTCTGAAGCAGGAGGATTACTTCAGCTGCAGTAAGTCATGATGCTGCCACTGTACTCCAGCCTGGGTGACAGAGTGAGAGCCTGTCTCAAAAAAAAAAAAAAAGAGCTGGGCATGGTGGCTTATGCCTGTAATCCCAGCACTGGGAGGCCAAGGCAGGTGGATCACCTGAGGCCCGGAGTTTGAAACCAACCTGGCCAATGTGGTGAAACCTTGTCTCTACTAAAAATAGAAAAATTAGCGGGGTGTGGTGGTGGGTGCCTGTAATCCCAGCTACTTGGGAGGCTGAGGCAGGAGAATTGCTTGAACCAGGAGGCAGAGGTTGCAGTGAGCTGAGATCACGCCACTGCACTCCCAGCCTGGGCGACAGAGAGAGACTTCATCTCCAAAAGAAAGAAAGAAAGAAAGAGAGAGAGAGAGAGAGAGAGAAAAGAAAGAAAGAAAGAAATTAGCATTAATTCCTTAAAACCTTCTAATATCCAGTCAATGTGCATATTTCCCTGGTTGTTTCATTAATAATCTTTTACAGTTGGTTCCTTTGAACCAGGAGCCAAACAAGATATGCCCCTTGTGTTTGATAGGTCTCTTAAGTCTCTTTGAACTGTAATAGTTTCCACTCCCTCATTGTCCCTTGCCATTTATTTGTTGAAAACCCTGGCGGATTTGTCCTTTAGAATTTCCTGTGTTCTACAGGGATTGAGCTGGGAGGAAGAATAAACTGTATTTCCCATAAACTTATAGTTGCATTTGAAGGCTTAATCAGACTTAGGTTCGATGTTGTTTTGCTGAGAATGCCATAGACAGTACTATGTTTAGCTATGTTGAATGAATGAATGAACTTGTTTTATGTAATATATTGTGTAAATATTTCCCTGTTGGTACTTAATAGATCTCCTATTCCTTCTCTAGTTGCTTAATGATTTCCTAGTATGGACTACCATCCTTATCAACATAGATTGTTTCCAGATTTTAGTTTTTAACAATGCAGTAAATCTGTCAAATTCCTAGGGAAGACAAAAACAGAATAATAAACTGAGATAGGAAAAATAAACTAGTAGTTTACATGTTTAAGAATGTTTGGGCTGGACGCAGTTGCTCACACCTGTAATCCCAGCACTTCGGAAGGCCAAGGTGGGTGGATCACGAGGTCAGGAGATTGAGACCATCCTGTCCAACATAGTGAAACCCTGTCTCTACTAAAATACAAAAAAATTGCTGGGTGTAGTAGCACACGCCTGCAGTCCCAGCTACTCGGGAGGCTGAGGCAGGCAAATCGCCTGAACCCGAGAGGTGGAGGTTGCAGTGAGCCGAGATCGTGCCACCACACTCCAGCCTGGTGACAGAGAAAGACTCCATTGCAAAAAAAAAAAAAAAAAAAAGGATTTTTGGTTGTATATTAAACTATCAAGTGAGTAGTCACTGGCCTCTAAGGTATTTAGAAATCTCTAATTGCTAAGTACATTCATTACAAATTATGAAGAAAGAAACAGGTGCGGTGGGTCCCGCCTGTAATCCCACCACTTTGGGAGGCTAAGGTGGGTGGATCATGAAGTCAAGAGATTGAGACCGTCCTGACCAACATGGTGAAACCCCATCTCCACTAAAAATACAAAAATTAGCCAGGTATAGTGGTGCGAGACTGTAGTCCCAACTACTCGGGAGGCTGAGGCAGGGGAATTGCTTGAACCCAGGAGGGGAAGATTGCAGTGAGCCGAGATCATGCCACTGCACTCCAGCCTGGCAACAGAGCAAGACTCCGTCTTAAAACAACAACAACAACAACAAATTATGAAGAAAGCAATCTGGAGAAGACTCATTTGTCTTTGGCATATCTTTGAATATATATGTATTTTATTCCAGAAAAGTATGATGAGGGTGATGTGAGGAAAATTATACATCAAGCTGAGGGTGATGTAATCATGCTGTTCAGCAGATAGATGGAAATGTAGTTGTTTAATCTTCAGATGTGATGTGTACTGTGCCATTTAGGCATTTATTTTTTTATTAATCCATCCATCTGGTTAATCACACTCAGATACATAGCTAGTTAAGAATTCGAATGTAGTATTGATGGAGCACAAAATTTCTTTTTTTTTTTTTTTTGTTTGAGATGGAATTTTGCTCTGTCACCAAGCTGGAGTGTAGTGGCATGATCTTGGCTTACTGCAACCTCTGCCTCCTGGGTTCCAGTGATTCTCCTGCCTCAGCCTCCCAAGTAGCTGGTACTACAGGCACCCACCACCACACCGGGCTAATTTTTTGTATTTAGTAGAGACGGGGTTTCACTATGTTGGCCAAGCTGGTCTCGAACTCCTGACCACAGGTGATCCACCTGCCTCAGCCTCCAAAAATGCTGGGATTATAGACATCAGCCACTGTGCCCAGGCTTCTTTCTGATTCTTAGTTTAACTCTGTGTGAAATGGGAATAATTAGTTTTCTCTGGCCCATGTTTCTCATGGCCATATAATGGTGATGTAAATATTTTCTATGGCTTCTGTATTTATTTATTTTGAGATGGAGTTTTGCTCTCGTTGCCTAGGCTGAAGTGCAGTAGTGTGATCTCGGCTCACTGAAAACCTCTGCCTCCTGGGTTCAAGTGATTCTCCTGCCCCAGCCTCCTGAGTAGCTGGGATTACAGGCACCTGCCACCATGCCCAGCTAATTTTTTTGTATTTTTAGTAGAAACGGGGTTTCACCATGTTGGCCAGGCTGGTCTTGGCCTTCTGACCTCAGGTGATACACCCGCCTTGGCCTCCCAAAGTGCTGGGATTACGGGCATGACCCACTGCATCTGGGCTGGTTTCTCTACTTAAATCTGAAGAATTTTCATAATGCAAAATTTTATAGTCATTTTTATTTTTTCTGGCACAGTTTACTTATGTTTTTCTTTTTTTTTTTTTAGTTATAGGTAAACATTGGAAACTCCATAGACTAAATCGGTATTTCTACAGAAAAATGGCAGAGAAGTCAGTATTGAATGTATTAAATTGGCTTTCTTCTTCAGGAAAAACTAGACCAGACTTCTGTTATCTTGGGTGATACCATCCTACAAGCAAACTAATCTGAAACCATTTCACCTAGAGATAATGTACAAGCCTTAGAACTCCTCGTTCTCATGTTGCTATTTATGTACATAATTAAAACCCAAGTTAAAAAAAAAGTTGTCTGATATCATTGAGTGACGGTCTAAGTGTATCTGGTGCCTGTGTGTATGGTATGTATGGTGTGTGTGTGTATGCATGGTCTGTGTGTGTGGTGCATGGTTGTATAGTGGTATGCATGATGTATGTGTGTTAAAGACAGCAGGTAACTCTTCTTAGAGAACTATCAGCTTGCAGACTGCAGAGTCTGGGGCCCACAACACAGAGTAGAGAAGTCGGAGAGATGCTTCAGTAACCAGCACAAAGAACAAAACTTGTAAGTAATACAGTTTGCCTGACAATGATTAGAAGACATATAAAACAGTAACAGTGACCCCTTGTTGTGGCTGTCACCTCCTAGTCTGTACAGAACTTGCAATTCTTGAATGCCAGTGGGAGATTCAGAATGAAGAAGTCTATGTCCTCTGCCAGTGGATGAATGGGGATGTGGTGTACTTTGGGTTCTCTGTATGTATGGCTTGTATTTTCCTCCTCTGTGGCCCCTGAATGCACAGCTCGTTGAACTCTGGATTCCTACTGCAGGAGCCTCTCTTGGCTTAGCCAGCCAAGAAGAATGGCAGGGGAACTAAATGTGAAAGAGAATTTAGAATTTCCAGATTTCAGTTAGTTTTGGGAACTCATCTTCCTCATATATTTGTATCATCAATTTAATTCCTAATTGTTGACCTTTCAGAACTGATAGCAGTCGGTTAGATAGCAATACACAGATGGACATACACATATTCATGTCATATATATTTAAGAGAGCCAAAATGGCAGGAACAGTGCCATCATTGTTACTGGATTAATGAGCTGAAGCAAATTTGTCCCTAGAATGATCTTTGTAGTCACCCAGACGTCTTTTATTTCCTTTTATGCCAAAGTACTTTTGTGTTACTGTGTCAGTCACCCAAATATATGAAAGCCATCTTATATCTCATTATAAAAATGCTGTTATTTCAGACTTTGTTCATTTGGCTTGGCCTCTGACATCATCTCTGGAAAGTAGCAATTCCATGAGTTTCTTCCTTGTGATTACCTGATCTAGTGAAGATTAAGAAGAAATGGCCTACACGTCAGCATGCTCAGGTCATTAATGAATAGATATTTGAGTGCCTCCTCTCTGTAAGATATTACCTCCCATTTTCAGTTCTTTACTCAGCATTGAAACATTGCTTTAAAACATTTTAGGCCAGGCGCAACAGCTCACACCTATAATCCTAGCACTTTGGGAGGCCAAGGCAGGTGAATCACTTAAGGCCGGGAGTTTGAGACCAGTCTGGCCAACATGGTGAAACCCTGTCTCTACTAAAAATACAAAAATTAGCCAGGCATGGTGGTGCGTGCCTGTAGTCCCAGCTATTCAGGTGGCTGTGGCACAAAAATTTCTTGAATGCAGGAGGCACAGTTTGCAGTGAGCCAAGATCGATCCACTGCACTCCAGCCTAGGCGACAGGGTAAGATTTTGTCTTAATAAAAAGAGAAAGAAAGCTGGGGGCAATGACTCATGGCTGTAACTTTGGGAGGCTGAGGCAGATGGATCACTTGAAGTCAAGAGTTCAAGACCAGCCTGGCCAACATAGTGAAACCCCATCTCTACTAAAACTACAAAAATTTACTGGGCATGATAGCGGGAACCTGTAATCCCAGCTAATCAGGAGGCTGAGGCAGGAGAATAGCTTGAACCCAGGAGGAGGAGGTTGCAATGAGCCAAGATCGCACCATTGCACTCCAGCCTGGGCGACAGAGCAAGACCCTATCTCGAAAAAGAAAAAAGAAAATTCAAAATATAGGCAAAATTCCTATGCTCACATATACAGATGGAAAAATGTGACTTGCTCAAGGTTAAATAGCAAATCAATAACAGGTAAAATTAGGCCATGTAGTGAATATTGTTGATTATTAGTTGATTATTATTCTAAAGATATAATTGAGAATCCTTGCATTCAGAAAAAATAATAGATAGGGGTTATATTTTCCTCATCTTATCTCTTTCTGGTTTTGGTTTTTTTTTTTTTTTTTGACCAGGCTGGTGTGCAGTGGCATGCACGGTCACAGCTGCTGCAGCCTCAACTTCCCAGGCTCAAGCAATTCTCCTGCCTCAGTCTGTCAAGTAGCTGGGACTACAGGCGTGCACCATCTCATCCAGCTAATTTTTTATTTTTTGTAGCGACAAGGTTTTGGTATGTTGCTCAGGCTGGTCTCAAACTCCCCAGTTCAAGTGATCCACCCACCTTGGCGTCCCAAAGTGCCAGGATTACAGACGTGAGCCACCGCACCTATCTACCTTGTCTTTTTTTTTTTTTGAGACAAGAGTTTCACTCTGTAGCCCAGGCTGGAGTGCAGGGGCGCGATCTGGGCTCACTGCAACATCTGCCTCTCGGGTTCAAGCAGTTCTGCCTCAGCCTCCCAAGTAGCTAGGATTACAGGTACCTGCTGCCACGCCTGGCTAACTTTTGAATTTTTTAGTAGAGACGCGGTTTCATCATGTTGGCCATGGTGTTGAATTCCTGACTCAGCCTCCCAAAGTGCTAGGATACAGGTGTGAGCCACTGCATCCAGCCTCCATCTAGTCTTATCTTAATGAATGTACTTTGCACTCATCATTATGGAAAGTCTTTTTTTCTTTGAGACAAAGTCTCACTCTCTTGCCCAGGCTGGAGTGCAGTGGCGTGATCACAGCTCATTGCTGACCTCCCTGGGTTCACATGATTGTCCCACCTTAGCTTCCTGCATAGCTGGGACCACAGGCACATGCTGGTATGCCCAGCTAGTTTTTGTATTTTTTGTAGAGATAAGATTTGCTATGTTGCCCAGGCTGGTCTTGAACTCCTGAGCTCAGGTGATCCACCTGCCTTGGCCTCCCAAAGTGCTGGGATTACAGGCATGAGTTACCTCACCCGGCCCAAGTTTTCACTTTTTAATTCAATGTACCAACCCAGTCTAATGCAGAAACCACTGTCAGGGGACTGGTAGTACATTTGTGGAACTAGGCTCTCATTATGGCTTAATTTTCATTTAAAGTAAGTATTTGAAATCATAGTTTCATTCAGCAGTGGCTGAAACTTGCTTCAGGTTTTGGTTTTCATACTATAAACCTCCTGTCTGATGTTTTGTTTCCTTTCTGATATTTCAACTTTCAAGTCAGTACAGGTTGAGTGTCCCTTATCCAAAATGCTTAGGACCAGAAATATTTTGGATTTTGGAATCTTTTTAGAATTTGGAATATTTGCATATATGTATTGAGATATCTTGGGGATGGGACCCAAGTCTGAAAACATGAAATCCATTTGTATCATTTGCACCTTATACATATAGGTAGAAGGTAGTTTTATAAAGTATTTTTAATACTTTTGTGCATTAAAGTTTTGAGTATATATATATTTGTTTTGTTTTGTTTTTGAGACAGTCTCACTCTGTCACCCAGGCTGGAGTGCAGTAACACGCCCTCATCTTACTGCAACCTCCGCCTCCTGGGTTCAAGCAATTCTCGGTGTCTCAGCCTTGAGTAGCTGGGATTAAAGGCGTGTTGTGCCACCACACCCAGCTAATATTTTGTATTTCAGTAGAGATGAAGTTTCAGCATATTCACCAGGCTGGTCTCGAACTCCTGGCTTAAAGTGATCCCCTGCCTTGGCCACCAGAACTGCTGGGATTACAGGCGTGAGCCACTGTGCCTGGCGAGTTTTGACTATATTTTGACTGTAACCTGTCACATGAGGTAAGATACAGAATTTTCCACTTGGGGTATCATGTCTGTGTTCAAACAATTTTGAATTTCAGAGTATTTTGGATTTCAGATTTTAATATTAGGGATGCTCAACCTGTAATTAACCAGCACATAATACTAAGGGTATACAGCTAGGTCAAACTCCACATTGACCAAAGTTCAGGCTTATCTATGTTTATGAAATGATAGCCAAGGAAATGTCTGGGTGGAAGAAAAGTTTGTTTTTATAAGCAACTGTGTTTCACATTTAATTCACTTAGCAGTGTAGAATAAGTCGTCTGTATTTCATGTGTAGGGGCCTTTATCTTAACTGACTTGAGTTTTGCTCTTGTTGCCCAGGCTGGAGTGCAATGGCATGATTTCAGCTCACCAAAACCTCCACCTCCCAGATTCAAGCCATTCTCCTGCCTCAGCCTCCCGAGTAGCTGGGAACACAGGCACTCGCCACCATGCCTGGCTAATTTTTGTATTTTTTAAATAGAGACAAGGTTTCATCATGTTAATCAGGCTGGTCTCAAACTCCTGACCTTGTGATCTGCCTGTCTCAGCCTCCCAAAGTGCTGGTATTACAGGCGTGAGCCTCTGCGCCTGGCTGGACGTAACTGTTTTCCCTGCCCACCCGCAACCTGTGAAATAGTCTTAAGACTCAGTATCCCTATAGTCAGTCTGTAAATTCTCTCCTCTCAGGTACGCCTGGTGAGACTCGCCCTTCAATGCTGACTTGTTGAATCGGTGTGGAGAACAGATAGAAGAACAAGGGAAAGGCAAAGAAGGAGAAAAATACAGGATTCAAAGACTGCTCTCCACACTGAAAAGTCATAGTGAGTCCTTCAAATGCTTAGATGACATAGTACTGAGATTTTGTTAGAAGGAACCCCAAATTTTTGCATGGACAGAGGATGATTTTAAATGCTTTGTTTACTACAGAAAACGCATCAGCTTTTTAATATCAGCTGTTTAACTTACCTCCCATATCCCTTCTAAATTATGAGTGAATGGCCTCCAGGTAATGGTGTGTGTGAATTCATACATTACTCACTCCTGAAACCCCAGGAAGAAAGGGATTTTTATGTAGCATTAGCACATAAACAAAGGATGGTGGAGGAGTTTGAGACCAGCCTGGGCAACATAGCGGGAGTACTCTATCACTAACAGAAAGAAAGAAAAAAAGGATGGAGAGAGGGAGACAATGGGACTTGTTTTTCGTAACAGACTCAGTGGAATTATTTGGAACTCTGTACCCATATAACATTGACACAAATAAAGATAATGAAAATATTTAGAAGTAAA